ACGTCAACGAGGACCGAGTGTCACCTCGCCACCTTGGAGGAGTTGTCTGTCGAATGCGCCGCAAACATGCCAATATTTCTATCTGCTGAAATAAAATCAGTAATGCAGATTATCTCCTTGTTTTTCAACTTTCCCATGTTGCCACCCTCCGCCCGCACAATTACAATCGAAATCTATACCTACGCCACATTTTTTAGAACTGCATCACCCAGTTATGAGGAGACACAGGAAATGGCAATGGAATTTATTACTGGGATCAATTCCCTTGATTCTGTGTTGTGCAACCGTGCCCGCTATCCGAAGCTGGAACAGGTCCAGATCCGATTGATCTCAGTGGACGACTGTAACGCCCCTTGGTGCGAGCTTCTTGCACTCAACAGCGCAGATGGAGCTATCCTACCCAGACTTGCATCAACAACGGTTGCGGTGCATATTTCATTATGCCACTCGGACATGTACTAGGATCGTACTAGGGCAATTTTGTATGTAGATATTTTTGTATATCGATCATTCCAAAGAAAGTCTGCGTTGCAGAACAGCGTATAAAACATACATCTAAAAGACATGTATTTGATAAGGCGAAGCCATTGTAAATTAAATTCTGCGATGGATTTCAGGGATCTGCTGCACGGATGCACCACACGGGCGCTTATTTATTTCCGCGTGACGAGATCGTTATCACTCGGGTCCACCTGCAGGCTCTTCTTCGAGGTTTCAGCTCCAATTGATCAATCACGCTGGAAGAAGTTGCCATGATCAGCTGTCCTATTATACTATTATCGAGTCATTCAGACCCGCATACACAACTAGGAGCTTGAAAGCGCGTTGATCGGCAAGAATCCATTTCCCACGTCCGACTCAGCATCTCACCACTCGCCGTTTGAGAGCAAAGCTGTTGCCCATTATCTTCACCATCCATATCCATGGCATACATCCTACGTCCCAAAGAGTTTAACTCTTCACCTTCAGGTTCTGACGGCGACTTTCAACGAGTGGAAGTCCCTCAGGAAATTGTTGATGCCATTATCGACGAGATCGTGGATTCCGCCGACATAAAGCACTGTTCGGTACACCTACGCGCTTGCGCTCTTGTTTCCAGGGCCTTCAGACATTCTGCATACAGATTCTTGTTTTCAGTATACGAGATTTCACATTGCAAGTGGAGCCGCTCATACTCGACACTCACGACATTGCGAGAATTAATAGAGGGCAATCCGAATCTCGTATCGTACCTTCGTCGGCTGAGAATCGTGGCCGATAGTCGACACCCGGGGAACAGGGATAATCAGTCACGGATATCGACATCGTACAAGAATCAAAAATCCAAGTTCATTGATCTTGGCGACCGACTTGGTCTCAGCAAAGATGGGAAATTGCAGAAGAATCTGATCTGGGTACTCCAGACGATATCCGCTGCTCAACCGAATAGGCTCACCACTCTAGAAATATGTGGACGGGAGAGGGGCTTACGGATGGAATATTGTGCAAGTTGGAAAGGGTTTTCTAAAGGGGTCGCCGCGACATTGATTAACATAGCAAAAACAAGCGCACAACTCCAGGCCATGAAATTGTGCAACATCATGGATTTGCCAATCGCCTTATTGACTCCACAGAAGGGCAGTTCGTTCTCTCACCTCACGTTGGATGACTGTACATTCCTTCCAACGGATTCGGCTCCCCAATCATCTCTCATTTATCCTTTTAAAATCATCACTGCTCAACCGCCTCTGGTACAACTCCAATCGCTACAGAGTCTCAATTTGAATTTGCCCTACTTTGGAAGAAATAACGATCTCTCTGGTGCACCAGATTTGACAGTGTTACCGTTTCCTGGATTTCCCAAACTTGAAGACCTTACCCTGAGCATGTATGGCTCGCAGCAAGACGCCGTTTTTCTGAAATGGATTTTGACTAGCTATGCACCGCTATTAGAAGAACTAGGCATTGTAATGAACACGCACAGCAACACTTCGCCGTGGGACTGGGATTGTACGTTATTCCATACTCATTCTTCTAATAACGATCAATGATGAATTTTATGCTTCAGCCCTCACCAGCTCATCTGAAGTATCAAATCATGATATCATCGCCATCAAACAGTTATCAACTCGAAACCAAAGCCAACGGCTGGTAAACACTGGCACAGATTTTCGGGCCATGTTCCAAGCAGCATTCACAATTTTTAATTACCCAATGCTTCCGACCACCATACAAACAATCATAATCCAGATCCTCGTCGAGGCAGGAAGGTTCGTCGTTTTATACACAGCAGACGGCACACTTCTCCCAGAAGACGACGCCATCACCCTCGAGAAATTCAAAGCAGAGATGAATTCTCTCGACGAAATCTTGTCTGACCGTTTACGATATCCGAAGCTTGAGAAGCTGACGGTTTCGATCCTTGTCATTAAGGGTAAAATCGATGGGACCTGGTGCGCTGATTTGTTGGACTCGGAGGGTATGAATGCAGATGCATTTCCCCGACTCTATTCTATGGGCGAATTTGACATAACCATTGATCTATACGGTGCGTAGATAGGTTTAAACGTGGACCGTATTATGATAATAATTTCTGGGACTCGGAGTTGTCGACTTCCTCAACAAGTTTGGTACAATGTGTGGTTTAAATATTCTCGAATCTCTACTGTGTGCCCTTGTAAAATTGTATTCGCCCATCGCACCCTCCAAAAGTACTTACTATAAGCATACCGCAAGCCTGGTCCTCTACCACGGAGGCAGCAACGACCGCGTCCTCGCGGCCCATGTTGCTTGACCCACATCCCATGCACCCCGACAATTAAATTGAGGTTTGATGGAAGAGGCTAGTAGGCAACGTGAAGGGATCATCGTCCTAGGTCGCATCAGTTGTCCTCTTTGCAATATTTGAATCATGTCACACCCACATAAAACGGCGGCTTCAGAGCGCGTTGATCTGACATTGATCACAAGCTTTGTCCTCGTTCGAGCCTTCCATTTCACACGTTGAACTCAGTAATCGTCGTTTGCGAGCAAAGTGGTTGAACTCTACCTCTATCATCTATGGCACACTTTTTACGCTCCATTGCATCCAACTATTCATCCTCGATTCCCGCAACCAGCTATCTGACCCTGGAGATCCCTCAAGAAATCATCGATGTCATAGTTGACGAAATCGCACGAGAACTTGAAGGCAATAGAGCCGCCCTGACGCACCTACGCTCTTGCGCTCTCGTCTCGAAAGGCTTCAACCATTCTGTCTGCAGATACTTATTTGCAGTGATCGACATCTACTACGGCAATCCAAAACATCAACGCTCGATTAGCAGATTACGAAGGATATTGGAGGCCCATCCGCCGCTGGTATCGTATATCCGCCGCTTGACGATCATCATCAGTTGGGACTGGAAAAGGAACCAGAAATCCAAAATCAGAGACCTTGGGAGACGACTCGGGATGCAGTTCAGAAGAGCAATTTCGAAATGGCGGAGGAATCTGATTTGGGTACTCCAGAGAGTGCACTCAGCTGCTAATCTGCGGTCTATGACAATCCGTGGCTTGGAAGCCTTCCCAGTGTCGACTTGGACCAAATTGGACGAAAAAGTTTCCGCAGTATTGATTTCCATAGCACAAGGCAATACACACCTCGAACATCTCGAACTGAACGACATTATGGATGTTCCTGTGGAAATACTTTCACGCAAAGATGGCAATACGTTTAACAGTTTCCAACTTAGTAGCTGCACACTGGTTCACAAGCTGAACTTTCCGGCCAACGCGCTTTCCATCATAAATCCGATGAAAATTCTTTCTTCGCAGCTGTCTCTGATCGACTTCCGCTCGGTACAAAGCTTTTCTTTTTATTACCGATTTTTGTGGGAAAGTGTTCTGAATCCCGATATATTGCAAATGCCGGTCTCTCATTTCCCGAAGCTCGAGTTCGTTTCCCTTGGTATATCCGGCCAGAAACACGGACTCTTCTTACTGAAGCAAATATTGACAAGTGACGCGCCATTATTGAAGGAAATGAATATCGAATTGTATCAGATTCATCCGACCCTCTCATCATCACCATTATGGTACTGGAATTGTAAGTCCTCACCTACTCATCTCTGAATGCCATCAGAGTCCTGCTGATCAGAATAACTTTAAACACAACTTTCAGCTCTTGTACCCCCATCCGACGTAGCACATCATAATAACATGATTGTCCCCATCGAAAAACTGTCGCTCACGAACGTCCAACGGCAGTTAGCGGACACTACACTCGAACTCCGCCTTGCACTCGAGACAATGGTCGCTTTCATCAAATGCCCAATGCTTCCAAAAACCATTATTGAAATTTCAATTCGGCTCCATATCCGAATATATAATCTCCTTATCCCAGGATTTGAATTCGAGCTAATCACGCCTGAGGAATTCTATACCGGGATGCACCTATTCGACAATGTTTTGTCTGACCAGTCTCGCTTTCCCAGCTTAAAAAAACTCAATCTTATAACCATTACCACCAAGGGTGACATCGACGGGGACTGGCTGCTGCGTGCTGATTCTCGGAAAATTTGTCAAGGCGAGGACAAGGTCTTTCCGCGACTAGCTTCGATGGGCGTTAGCATAGGCATGAGTGTCTATACTCTTCCTGATCAAATCTGAATGGCGAACATCGACTCGGAACCCAAGGTTCAACCAAGGTTGTTATTCTGATTACATTTTTTGGAACTGTAACCTATTTTTTTTCTTTATACTGTTGCCGCAATGTAGGATCTACATATGTACTTGTACATTCTCTCGGCACATCCTATAGCCTACAGCTAGCATAGACGGATTATGCAGTTAACAGATTTATCGGAGTGCGACGTGGTTGGGGTCGAGGAGCGTCCACCATCATAAAGCCCCGACAAGAATAAGCGCCCAATAAGCGCTCCGGCTCACCCATGCCGCCGCCGAGCCCGCTTCGTTGTTGTAGCTTCTGAATCAGAATACCATTTCTCGGTTATGGTCCGCGTCAAGAATGAAATTGTATATCGGGTATAGTGTAACGGCTAACATTGCCGCCTCTCATAGAAAAGGACATAATGAGTAGATTCGCGGCAGCTCGGGGTTCGATTCCCCGTACCCGAAATTTTGGATTACTTTCCGATGGTGCTTCGGATATTGACTCTAAGTATATTACTTCGTAGACAGTTTTTGTTCTGCTTGACGTTCATTGGATTTCGCCGTCTTTCAGAGATTCCCCCGACGCAGCGTGCTCGTCTCATGAGACTTCGAAACTGCTATGTAGAGCAAGTATATGTATTACGCCGAGATGCATAAAAGAGATACCCAGAAATGAAATTGCCATGAAAAAAGTGTGTACAGAAAACATAGTACCAGCAGTGCAAAACAAAATGTGAGACGAGTCTACCCTCCGAACCACCACCACCATCCCCCATTCCTACCGATCCATGAAAATGCCAGGAAGATCCTTCATCTCCAACAAATGCACACCCGCCTCCTCGAGCTCCGCCTCAATTTCCGCCTCGATGCGCCATGCGGGCGTCACCCCGCCGCCATGCAGCACCTCAATCCTATCATATGTCGCATGCGCGCCCTTAATCAACAGCACCTCATTCCCTCTCGAAAGCGCACTGCTACACGTCGCGCGTATGCTGTAGTCCGTCTGGAAGCCCGCGACGACGATCTCCGCGGTGGGCGGGACGACGTCGGCCAGGTCTGTGCCGGCGAAGGCGTTGTTCTTGCGCTTGTCGACGACGACTTCGCCTGCTAGGGGCGCGAAGATAAGCTCCCATCCGGGCGTGTTGGGCTCGTCGGCGTCGCCTGTGTCGCCGCTGTTCCGCACGTGCACGATGAGCGGCGAGGGGCGGGCAGAGCGGGCCTGGGTGAGGATCTGGGCGAGGTGTGTGCGCACCGATGCGGAGGCGGGAACGCCTATCGGGGGCGGCTCGAGCATGGCGACCTGGATGTCGAGGAGAAGAAGGACGCGATGCGGCTTGTGGTGTGGGTGTTGGTGGTGCGCCGTCGCCGAGGAAGACGGCGAAAGGGGTGCGGCATGCGCCGATGTCGATGCGGAAGTGTCCACGGAGGACGATGCGGCGGAGGTGGCCATATGGTCGGAACTGTACAGGGGCTAGTGCGCGCAATCACTTGTCAGCGATAATAATCGATTGCAATGCAAAACCAACAACTCACCCCAGCAAAAACAACGACGAATAAATCGAATCGATGTAGTACGATGTGGCTGCAGATCCACGCTGAACTCTGCGCACAGTTCAAACGCTTCCGCGCCAGTGGCGATGGTGTTCACGGACAGAGAGGTGGGTTGGGCAAAAGTCAGCCAGAAATCGCCCCATATAGCACGCACAGATCATCAGCCTGACCGACGTCATCGCCTGCTGGACAAGTCTCCCCTCCCCTGCAGGCATCCTATCCGCTGCTTGGAACGTCGTAGAAAGTCGCGGAAGGTATCCATTGTATGTAGGTGCCCTGGATCGAGCACGCTTTCTATGTACTTTACGGGCGACGATCATGACGCTCCACTTGTCAAGACGGGGACCTAGATTTGTTTCCTACAAGTGATCTTGGAGTGTGAGTGAGCGTCTGGGTGATGTCATTTCGTGGTAAGGTCGGAATTAGAAGGCAAGGTAGGCAGTGACAATGTCTTGATAACCGCACGGATCGACAATTGCAGTATAGCGAACATTAGAAGTGGTAGATTCAGACCAAATTCAGACGGGACTTGAAACGGCCAACAACCTGTGGAGGTCGGCATCGTACGGGTAATGCGAACACGTGTCAACTCAGAGGGAGCCTCTAGTCAAATGTGTGCTCGACCGAGCGACGAGTTAAAGCATTTCAACGTACCTAGTCAAGACGACGAAGTGCAGACTGACGTTGCTTCAAAGTTCAAACGTTCAAAGTTCGTTATAATTTTTTTCAATATGAATAAGTGGATTACTATAGAGAGGGAGCAAAACCAATTCCAACATCAAATCCCATCGAACTTAGTCGAGGAAATTGAAAGACCTTGTCCAATCCTTCCAAAAAAAATCTGTAATCCAGCTCTCGTTCAATTGGCCCTGCGCAATAATATCGTAAGATTCATTTTTTCAGGTTTAAGAGAAACAGGATTGGTCGGACAGAAAATTCATCTTGAGGCTTAGAACAGTAGCTTAGAAGTTAGAAGTTAAGGTCGCATTCGACGTCGACGGTCGAGGACTGATAAAGGAATACAAAAAGTTCGGGTACGGGGAATCGAACCCCGAGCTGCCGCGGATCTTACTACTGAGATACTACAATATGAGAGGCGGCAATGTTAGCCGTTACACCATACCCGATGATTCAATTTTATACAAATTCACACTCTCAGCGGCGAAGGATAGCCCATTTCAGATTCATCCATTCATTTTTTCAATCGAAAAGTATACAATAATTCCTCGTTTCTCTTTTTCCCTCCCTTTCGCCATCCAAAACAAAAAGACAAAAGAGAAAATACCAGAACCGCAATCATAATATCTCCAAAATTCAAGCAGACAATATGACCAAGCCTGCTAGAAACCTAAAATCCTGCATTACTGACCCGGCCCAGCGTTCGCTCTCGACGCGACGAGCCATTCAAGAGTAAGCAGCGATGGCGGTATCGAATGCAGCGAGGATGGTGTCGCGGAGGGTGGTGGCGGAGGCGGTGGTGGAGGCCTATAGCACATAACATCACATCAGCGTCTATTAAAAAAAGCAGGGAGGGCATGGAATAACAACGCACAGGAGCATTAGCAATGAGCGCATTCGAGAACGCAGCCGTGCCAGCCTTGAGGTTCGTCAAGTCCTGGAGGATGAGCGCGGGGACGCCGCCGAGGGGGAGGGCTATGTAAAGTATATCGTCGTAAGTATAGATATACCCCCCAAAGAGGGGGAATACGCACCGACGAAAGAAGGCTTCTTGGCGACGATGCCGGTGAGCGCGTCGAGGATGGTGGGCTCGAAGGCCTGCACGGCGCTGAGGATGGTCGCACCGTCAGCATCGCCGACGGGACCGGTGGACTTGCAAATAATTTAAATTAGCTTGCTTAACGAATAACAGTAGGAGAGAGAAAAAACATACGGTAACATCAGACGTGCCAGTAGCGAGCGCGGGGATCAATCCAGTAGTGGTGCTCGCAGCGGCATTGTGAATAGCCTGATCCAAAAATAAATAAATAGAAGGTCAACAAAATCCAAGGAGTGAGTTCAGAAGAACGAAAGCCACGAACAAGAGCACCAGCGAGCGTTCCACCCGTAGCGGGGTACGCATTGATCAAGCTGTCCAAGGTCGAGACCTTGCTGCTGATAGTTGAAACATCCGCGAGCACGGTGCTGACCGAGCGCTTCGCGGGGACAGACGCGAGGCTGACGGAGGCGACGGAGAGGAAGAAGACGATGGCGGATTTGAATTGCATGTTGAGCTACTTGGGGTGGGCGCTGCGAGACGGCTAAGGCTTCTTGCGATGGGGAATGGGTTCTTGAATCAAAGGGGGTTTATATACTCTGTATTGCTCTCATATCCATACGCAATACCGCGCGACGAAAAAGGAAGAAGGAGAAGGTGGGGATGGATCATGGAGAATCATATGCCTCGCTCGAACGCGCGTCAGGGCAGGGATGATGATGCAGGTGGAGAATGATCCATTGCGAAAACCTACGCGTTTCTTTTTCCTCTCAAACCCGACCCGCGAAAGAAATGAATGGACCTCGGGACTCAATTACGCCTTCTGGCGTCAGATATTCAGCCCCCCGAAAATCAAACTTCCGACGCTTGAGCTCTCCCAAAAAGCGACTGAACCAAACAACAAACGTTCTCTCTATAGCGCGGGGGGCTCTCCAAAGAGAATGCAAAAACCTAAAAAACAAAAAGAGAGGCATCCACGCGGACGCGTTCTCAAGACCTGTCAACCGCGCATAGTTCTGATTTCACCCTAAAGAGCGCGAAAATGAGAATAAAAAAGGTAAGCAGGTCAGCTGGCCCCCTTGTCCGGCCGCCCATGCGATTTGACGCACCTCCGAGGTATGTATGGTATCCCCAAAGCGACGAGAAGCATGGTGTGATGTGGTTTATGGACGCCCCGCAGGAAGGTGTCAGCCGATGCAAGAATGAGGTGGGATTGTCAATTTTGTTGCGGGGAGATGGAACGCTGGACGGAGTGTTTTGACTGACAGATCGATTGTTAGATTAGCGGGTTTTTTGCACTTGCTGAGAGCGGAACAAAAAGTTTAGATAGTTTGGTTCGGAGTTATTCCTTGAAGAACTTCTTGTAGTAGTATCAGACTTCGAGTGGTCGCCTTTGATGATCGTGAATGGTCGTCGAGCTGATGGTTACCATAAAATTCTTATTTTTCGTATTCAATAACGCTTCTTTGTAAAGCTAAACAAAAGCGCTGGGTCAACTTCGCGATCTTCTGACAAGAACAAAATTACATACGTGAGACTTGCATACCTCGCAGTGCCAGACGTGGGTGATAACTATCTCATAGCATGCAAGAACGTGAAAATGTATCCGCATCATGGGACTCTGAAATGACCTCTGCGTACAGCGGTCCAGCGTTCATTTCGTTTGATGTGTGAGAAGGAGGAGAGGCGAGAGACGTCAAGTGGTTATTGACATTGTCTGAAGGGAGGAGGAGGAGGACCGTCTAGAAAAATCCGTGCAAGTATCAAGAGAATTTCGACGTGAAAATGTCACTTTTCTGTTGGGGTACGAGATCACAGATCTAGGACCTTGTGAAAAGAGGATACGAGAAGGACGTGCTCGGAGGCCGGTGAACGTTTGAACTTGACGTTTAATTTTGGAACGGTGGGACGGATGATAGACTTTGCAAGTGATCTTCAGAATCTAGGAAAGTTAAACATCTTCTTGACGAGGTATCAAAATGAAGAACAGACCCACAGCAAGCTTCTTTTTCACTACCAGAAAGAAGGAAGTGGATGCATCTCGCCCAGGAATTCACGACCGCCTCCGACGAATCTCAAGTACCCCAAATGGCGCGAATCAAGCCTCCAAACGCATAATTGCGTCGAGCCCTCGCTTCATGATTCACATGATGCGGGGTAAAGCGTGGGGTAGCAGTCATTCTGTGCGACGGGGATAAACTCCGGAATGAAAAGAAGTGTCGTATGTGCCTTCTGCGAGCATTTCTGGGGGCGAACATAGAATCGGATCTCCTACACAACACTGTCGCGTATCACAGGCCCGTATTCTGTACAACGCATGACGCATGCGCGCTGGCTTCTTGATGAAAAGCGTGTGTTCGTTTGTAGTACTGGTTGATCATCTGGTCAAGATGTGGTCAGTCGGAATCGCTAAGAGAGATGTTGCGAAAACAGAAACCATGATTGGGCAATGCTTTTGTCATCTTTTCGGGCAATTTTTGCTTGTGATATTGCAGCTGGGGAAAGTCTTGAAAGGAAGTGGGTTTTTCTTCACGTTCGTCGTTGTAGTTCGAATCCCAGTCATGTTACTGCGCCAGTCGCTGAAGGTTTAAGCCTAAGCGTTGAATGTGAAGGTTACGTTGAATGTTTAAACCAAGCTCAAGCCGTTGACAAACGGTATCAGGCAATTTCCGATCAATTTGCGCCTAATTCAGGACCAAATCCTGAGATGTTCACCGATGGCCTCTTCGAACTTGCCTTCAGGTATGTGCCCAGCTTTTCAACCCCGAACGCACCTTGATAAACATGCCCTCAGAGGGACCTTCTATATCCCATATCGAAGATGACGAAGAACTCGTATGTGGTGAAGAAACGATGAGCTCCGATGGGTCAGAAGATGAGGAATGTAGTAGTAATCCTCTTTTTGAAGGTATTTTTCTTTATGAGCTTCTTTGTTATCTTTTTTATCCTGAAGAATATTAGTACTAGAGAAGGACATCCGAGCATACGTTTTCAACGAGATGCCGATCCGACTCCTGTCGTTGCCCGAAATGAAGCTTATCGACAGAAATACTGTCGCTCGTCACATCATGCGCTCAATCGCTGTCAAACCTCAAACTGAACTCGACGACTTACTTGGTATCGGACCGGATAACTATGGAGGAGGTATAGAGATTCATAGATCTGCAGATTGGGCTCACCGAATTCGTAAACTGGTTCGGATGCATGCGCGATATGCTATTTTATCCCATACGTGGTTGCAGAAAAAGCCTGAAGTCGTCTACGAAGACGCGAAGAATCCTCAAAAATGGCATTCTATTCAGTCTGGGAGACGATCGGCTTACAGGAAACTGGAAGGATTCTGTAAAATTGCCAGAGACAAACACGGTGTATCGTTCGCCTGGATGGACACGATCTGTATCAACAAGGACAGCACCTCCGAGCTTGAGGAGTCTATACGCTCGATGTATCGCTGGTATAAAAACTCCTATGTCTGCATAGTCTACCTATCCCATACCACCTCTCTGGCAGATATGCATCTTGATCGTTGGTTCACGCGAGGCTGGACTCTGCAGGAACTACTGGCTCCCAGCAAACTCAAATTCTACAACAAGACATGGAAGGACCTGACGGCTCTACTGAACGAGAAAGCTTCCCCACCATCACCGAATATCAAGAGCGATCAAATGGACATTCTCCAGATAATCCACAAAGCTACTGGAATTGAACCCAAGCAATTACTTAGCTTCGAGCCGGGAGTTGATCAAGGGATCGCCTCCAGAATGATATGGGCAGCAAAACGATCCACTACCCGAGGCGAAGACCGGGCTTATTCTCTCATGGGAGTTTTCAACGTGAGTTTCTCCATCGCCTATGGAGAGGGGACAGACCGCGCCTTCTTCCGCCTCCTCGAGGCTATTCTCAGTTCGTTCAACAACCCTTTGGACATTCTGAATTGGGCCGGCACACCTTGTTCGAAAATGGTCCATGCCTCCCGCATCTTACCATCTAGTCCGGAGAACTACCTTCATCGTCACTCTGGCATGGAGTTATCGAGTATCATCCCAGAAAAACCCATTATCCTCACCCATATTGGATTGGAGGTCAAGTTGTTGGTCATGTACGCTAAAGTCCGACCTAGCTCGGCAGTTCCACCAACGACTGCCTCCATGATACCGCCGCACGAACTCGAGTCTCGTCCAAATCCATGTTTCGTGCCGAGTCCTATCACCGTACGCCTCGTAAAAACCTTTAGTACTTCTGTATTTCGCAATAGCGCTTTTTGCTTCGGGGTCTTCGGCTTTCACGAGTCGCTTACAACTATAACGGTTCCAATGAACTGTCTTGCCTTTCTATTCTGTATTCCGGGATACAATTTCAATCGTTATGCGGAATGGAGTAGTCCAAAGAGCACAGTGAAGGACCTGCTATCCA